TGAACATAAATTAAAATATCAATTTTCAATTGCAATTTTTGAAGGTATTGGTCATTTTTATATTTATTATATATTTATTATCAATAAAATATTAATATTTTTATTGTAGGCTAATTAAAACAATTTTCTTTTGAAGAAGTACACTGTATACAGGAATGTACAAACACCTCTGATACTCAGTCTTCAAGATGGTGGAATCGGTGACGGTCGAAACTTTTAATTTCACGAAGTGTGTGCCATATTTTGACCTGATAATGTTGCACAATTTGACATTCTGTAAACATTTTTTCTTTGCTCAATTAAAAATAAAGGGAAAAGAAACAATCAGATGTTATTTTTCATATTTAATTATCAAAAAAAGTGTACCAAAGCTATTTCTAGAATTTTTTATAGTTACCGTGAACCAGTGTAAATCTTAGACAAAAAAACTGTCTTGAATAAATTACTCACTATTTTAATTTCAGTATGAAAACTTTTGGAATAAATACCTGTTCATGTTGGTGATCGATTGTTTTATCGTAAGACTCCATGAACACTGTATCTGTTTATAATTCTGAATGAATTTGTTTCTTAATTTTACCATTAAATATTTGCCGCAAGTTACTGTTGCAAAGGATCAACATTTTTTTATTCTACGAAATTTTATATTATCTTTTCGTTTCGTTAATTTTGCAAGGTGACACTGTCTGAATCATTTATAACTTTATAACTGACATTTGTTTCTTCCTAAAAACTAATTTAATTTTCATACATTTTTTCTATTTTTTAATTATATTGTTTACTATCTCAGTACATCATTTTTGACAATTTCACCTTTGTGGTAACAAATATACAACAATTATGTTTAACTGTCTTGAAGCAATTTTGCTTATATTTTTTTCGAATTATGAGTTCTATGAGTTCATGCTCTTAAAATTAGGTCATGAATATTACTCGCACTATCAGACATTTTTCAAATTTGGCGTATACATATACTCTCGAAACTTGTATATTGTTACTGTAATCAAAGTGCTTTGAAATACGCAATATAACTTTACATTTCTTTAAACATTATACATCTCTTTTATCAAAAACATTCGAGTACATCCGTAAACCATTGTGTATCCTTTTCTTTCTTCAATGTGACAACCGTCTGAAATATTTTACATATTCTGGGAATTGTTGTAATTAAATGATTATGTAGTTTTGATGGCTGACAGAGCGCTTTATCGGTTATGTTTTTCGAATTTCTTTATCGATATTGACTGACTGTTATAAAAGACTCTGCATAATATGTGCTAATATTCCACATAGCAAAATTTTATAGACAGGTATTCCTTGAGAAGAAGAAAATATTATTTTTAGTCACTGATCAACTGATCTTTTTTTCTGTAGCACGAAACTCACCTTAAACAACTGTATTTTTGAACAAGAAGTTCGCGGCTAGTCTAGTTTTTACCGAGAGACATTATCCAGTTAGCTGCAATCGATTTTTTTTCATTTTGAAGCAATTAAGCACAAACATTTTAGAGGGATATATGTTTCTTTTATTTTTTTTTCAAATCTTATTTACAAGGAGTGAAATATCCCTTCGACATGCTAAATTTTTACTTCACAAGCGAGGATTTTCTACTTCATAAACACTAAATCCACTAAATAATACAAACTGTAGTGTTTTGTTATAATATTTTATTTATGATATTTTATTCAATATGTTGTGAAAAAATAAGCCGCGAGAATAATTAAATTGATTCAATTTCGAATTAAATAACTTCAGTCTGCTATTGTAAGACATTACCGTAGCGTTTTTAGGAACTCTTATACGTTCCCAAAAAGTACAGAGAATGTTACTTTTATATATTCGGACAACGTTCAAGAATGTTGACACAGGACGTTCTCGGGACGTTCCACTTTGTAAATAGGACCTTCCTAGGACATTTATAGATCTTAACGAGGACGTAGTGGAGGTATGTGGACCTATTCAGGACATCCTCCGTATGTACCGAACATCCGGAAAATACGTTCTCCGGGCGTACATAGGACGTTTCTGTGCTATTTGGATTAGTCGATTGCAAGTGAAAATACAGAATTTTTTGAGATTCCTACCAAAACATAACGGGCATGTATAAACTTATAGATTATAGAGACATGAACTTTTCGGTTCACTTAATATGTTCAAACTAAAAAAAAATTAAGCAATGCATACGCTAAATATAATAAAATTTCTAAATTTATTACAATACAGACATGAAATCGTACTGTTGCAAATATTGTTATTACTCGCGGTACGGTGCGACGTCTTCACGTAAAATAATGCAGAGCAGAAAGATTATTAAATCATTAAACATGAAAAGAAACATGCTGTAGGAGGAATAAAATTTTCATTTTTTTTCTGTCAATATTACTAGGTTTTATGTAACATACGTTTCTGTATAATGTTCTTCAATATCAGTTTAATTAATTTTTTCTAACGAGTCAATAAGAAATGTTTTAAATAAAAGTAAACAGCAAAGGAGGTTAGTAAATTTTATGAAAACTTATGTACAAACATATTTTTATAAACATGCTTTCTACGTACTATGCAATTTTGGTTAAACAAATGTTCCTGTAAACCTTATAGTTTCGAAGATATCTGAGGTAGTTATAGTTATTGCTCCACCCTCTACAACGTAATTTATTAAGTGTAATATTTCAATTATATTACGTGGTGTTAATATAATGTATACTAATTGCTTTTTCATTTGTGATCATTTATCCTTTTAGGGCGCAATTCAGGGGATAATTATCGGATTCCATTTAAAAACATTTCAGTTAAAATATAAATATATTATACTGCTTTTAAATTATAACTGGCTTGCATAACTCTGTATGGGAATTTTGCCTTAAATAATATAATTGTTATTATCATCATTTGTTTAACAAAATCTTCATGGAACATAATTTTTACTCCCAAAAGTAACATCTAGAAGCATATGTAAGATGTCACTGCATTGTCAAGTCACGCCGTTACTTGTTACGATTAATTGCGAATACTGTGGATCGAAAACCGTACTAATTCGACAGATTTTTCCTTTTCCTTATACCTATTAGTCGAAACTCGGTTGGCCAAACCATCCAAGACGTCACAGAAATCAATGACTATACAGGGTGTCTTTCAACTGATGGCACAACTCGAAAGGGGGTGATTCTATGTGCAAAAGTAACAAAATGTATAATAAAATTTTTTCGTATAAGGCTTTCATTTTCCAGATAATCGAATTCCCAAAGTTTGCTCAGTACGCGTGCAATTGAATAGGGCTTAGCTAACACGTCTCTTCATTACCACTAGGCAAGTGAACAAATAGTTTTAAAAGAGATGTCCACAATGTCACAAATGAATGTGTTTTACAATTACAGCATAAGGCTTTAAATTCCGTTTTTACTTATTGTAGAAATGTTTCGACTTATTCCGAGTACATACATGTTAGATGAATGAAAGAATAAAATATCTTTTATACAATGCTTTGTTTACGAAATAATTTGTTTTGAAAATTCATATAACATGTATTTACATGTGTATGTATTTGTGCTAACACTAAGTATATTGAAACGGAATGTAATGAACAGAAAGGTTAGTTCAAATTCGATCGTCTCGAAAACGGAACATCATATGAAAAAGTGTTATTCCACATATTTGACTTATTTTTGCATGCAGTATCATATCCTTACGGGTTGTAATACCAGTTCGGAAACACCTTACATAAACTGTGTGAGCTCAGAGTAGTCATCTTGAGGATGAAAAGATATAATATTGTCCTACGTCTAAAACGCTTCCTTTTTGCATTTAAAAATTGGGTAACTAGATAAATTTTCTTCAATATCAGTGATGCTTTAACTAGCAATAAGATCTAAACTGTAAAAATAATAAGACACAATATTTTGTTACATGAATTGTCAATAGACATCTATCATTACACTGGTATCGAACATCCTGCTTTATACGGATGCATTGATTCTAAGACATTATGTACAGAAATCCGAGTTTTAATTACTACAGAATATTATTCTCAATTGCTAATATTGCACATTTCTGTACAAAGCATTAAAACGTTATAAAGATTGCCTTAATTTTTGTTTCTTTTTTATGAAAACTTTAGCAATTGTTTGTTATTAATGAGATTTTTCTAAATGAAAATGGTGCCCAGCACGGAAATATGTGGTCACCTTCAAATTACAGTTACTATTTTCTTAATCAAATAATAGTATAATGGAAATTCAGTATGTTTGCCACATTTGAGCCTGATGAAAATAGCATAAAACGGTCGAAATCAATATAGAATATTGTAAAGAAACATGTGTTATTGATTTGCTTGTAAATCAACACTGAATTTGCGAAAATATAATTGATTGCACATTAATAAATTTAACAACTGTAAGTATTTTATCTGGAATGAATTTATTTTTATGCCAATGCTGCTGAAACATCGGGTAATGATGTCTCACATCTACCTAAAACAATTCCTTACAAACTTAAAAAGAAGGCGTTTATAGTATGGCAACATAACATTTTTCTATCCTCATGGGTGACTAACCCGAGTTTCAAACGACCTGGCCAATTTCGTTGAGCAAAATTACCTTCGTTGCAGGAATTGATAAAAACTTTCAGATCATAAGCATCGTCAACTCCATAAACACCAAAATGTCTTCCGAAATGATCCGAAAATATCAAGTCCCGACAGAGTCGTATTCATAAACAACGAACGGTAGAAATTCGTGAACGTAACAGAAACAATGAAGATTGCAGCCGTGGGACACCGTGAAACAAATCAGTGGTGTTTCAGTGTAGAAACGAATCTGAGCAAAACGTATCCCGATCGCAATTCGGGTTATAATGATAGAATTTCAGTTGGAACCGAGACTGACTTCCTCCATATTTGATCTGTCGCTCATTTGTAGATGAACGGGATGTGCATGTTGCCGGTTACGCGACGAGGTACATTGGTCGTTGGTGGTAGTGGTTGCGGTGAAAGGGGTGACAACGCCGATAATAATAGCTGTAGCCCCTGTGGTTCGACTGGTGACGTTGGTGGTTGCAATAATGAGACCAGTACCGATGTCTCCAGCCCCCGATCGGCTATTCGAAATACTAATACCGGCGACGACGATCTCGGTGGCTCGATTGCGAATCCACGAAAATCCCTAAACATAGAGCCACGTCAGTCCCGTGCTCAGGGTATAAGAAAGCTCCAGAAGTGTCTGAGCACCACCACCAACTATTACGAGGTGGATTCCTCGTCGTCGAACAGCGTCCCAACAACCTCGCTATTCTCTGGTCACCGTAGCACTGAGATGCGAGCCTGTCCGTCGATCGGTCCGCAAGCTTCTTTGAACTACCAGACTATCCTCTCCAACACCAGACAGTATAACAGCTTCGGTAGTATCACTGAACGCAATTTATCACATTTTATACAATATTACTACTATATACGAACTCTGTAGACACGTCGATTTTGTTTCTATGTTACTGAATGAGACAACTCTATATATTCTTCTCTGAGTGCTTATTTTTTTCTTCGTTTCGTTGATGGTTTTTCATTTCTCACTGTCGATAGAGCGACTCTTCTACGATCGGCTATGGTGCAATCGACGGAGGCCAGGGTATTTTGAACGGCGTTACGCTTCGTTCGGTACGCGGGTGTCCGATAAATTGTGTGGTGTGGCATACACCAGGAAAGCAGACAAACGTAGAAAATAGATCTTTGTTTTTTTTTTCTTTTTCTTTACTGATTGCGTAGTTTTTTAAGTGGACGGAATTTCGGGTCTTTCGACAATTACGAACGCATTTTCTATTGATTGTTCTGTATAGATGCAATGTATTTGAGGATATATTTTGTCCAGAGAGTTGTACGATTCAAATGGTGGATAGTTAAGAAAGTTTGTAACGCCTCGAACTTGGGGTCTTAATACCTTTTGTTTTTACTGGAGACACAAAAATGGTTGGTCCGGCAAACAAGTATTGTTTTCGAGGTACACCTTTTTTTTGGCGAGAAGTGCAAAAGAAAAAACATGACTACTGAAACATTTTATACCAGGAAAAAATTTCAGAAAAAAAGATTAACCAAGAAGCTGATTAAAGACTTTCTTTACCAAAATGATAGAAATTTTATATAATTGGTATATTGAAACTATCTGAAAAATATAAAGAACCTATAGAAAAAGGTGGCAAATAAAAATAAGTTACAAAATGATAACCATAGACTGCATTTCTACTGCTGAAAATGGTATGAAACTCTTTTGTCTACACTATTACAAGCATACTACATGTCAAACAATTCTTTTTAACTGTAATTTCAAACTATTGGTGTCTAGGGTATAGCCGTAATATTGGTACAACCGTATATAAGATAATTCTACTGTATTGTATACTGTATTTGTACAAACAGTGCTAATACACTTGAATGGTTTACCTGTGGTTATAAGATTACAGATATGCGTCCTGTATACTAATGAGCCAACGCTTACAATCTATACTTGGGGAAAAATTATTTAGAAAATGCGGACGCACTTGAACAAAGGCTGAAATTTTATTCAAACGTGAAAATTCATGAAAGTGTGGCCTGTGCATGGTGAGGATGAGTGGCACTGCTTTGCAACATTTCTAACAAGCTGGTAACACAGGTTGAAAAATGAAAGGCGACACAATCTAACGTTTTTGAAGCTGAACGGGATATGAAACTTTTATTTTTCAGCAACCATTTGGTGTCGATGGTGACATCGTGTGATGAAGTTAATTTTTAGTAAGTGTTAGTGTTCATTCCTTGTCAAGGGTACCTTTGTTTTAAACTGACAACGTATAATTTTAATACGTACATACATTCCTCAGTTCGCCATTTGACGAGTGAAACGTTCACGCATCGTCAAGGTTATAATAAGAAAACATGCATGAATTGTGTCATATTCCAGCTTTCAAGCTTCTTAAGAAGCAAAACAAGTTTTTATTTCGGCCAACCAAACTATTTCTTTACAATCATGATAATTGTGTAGAATCATGAAACAAACAGTGACGACGCATATACAAAGTAGCTTGCACAGTCTGTAGTGAAACAGATGCACAGTCTTACCCTTATGTTTGAAGCCATGTGTCTCGAAAACTACGCAACCGATGTTACAGAAATTGAATATATATTTTCCACCTATTGTTTTGTGAGGTATTACCTCCAGCCACAATTTATCGAATACCTCTCACATCAGCAGACAATGAAAAGTTAAACAAATTATTTATTTAACTTCGTATACTTACATCTGAATATCGAGACCTGTATCAAGTTTCTCTCGTACTGAGACACTTTATTTAAACTGATTCAGCATTAACTAAATGGAAATTAAAAGTTACATTTGTTCGTTGAAATCTAATAAGTTATGTACTATTTAAAGCTAAGAATTACATATTGTGTGTACCAGTAAGTAAAGGTTATTTTTTTATAAAATGAATATTCATATCTATAGAAATCAAAGATTTGTATTGTTTCATTTATATGGGTAATAATTTTCCACGCAGTTAAAAGTTGAAAAGATATTTTTCAGAGTCAAAATTAAGTATACACCCTACAAAAGTGAAGTTTCGGTGTAATACTTTTGTAGTATCTCACTGTTGTAAGATCATGGTAGTAATACAATTGGATATGATTTTCTTAACATTTTCGGGATCTGTGGGCAGCCAAACAATTCGAAAAAATGAAATTTGGAGCTACAAAATTTTGTAAATATCATTATACATTGTAAATGTATCAGTATGGTTTGGTGCAGCATCACAACTTCTAGTGTAGGGCAGATATTTAAATACTTTTAAATCAAATTCAGCTGCAAGTGCATTCATGGGTCTTTTAGTGAGATCGTGGCCCAAAATATAGAGCAGAGGTGGTTAAAAAATTGTTTGCTGGAAAACACTTTCAGTCAGTTAAGTTCTCTTCTGCAGTCACCAGATCTCAATTTAATAGAGCATCTGTGTGAAATATTGGATTCTAAATTGAGCGAAATAAATACGCAGTGCCCCAAATAAATCTAATTAAATATCTCATACTTTCAAACTGTATACTCACTTTTGGCTTTGACTGTACATATTGCCTAACGATTCAGAAAAGAAAGTACATTACTTATTAGTACACCTAATGAAAGTTCCTATTTCGTAGTTGTCAATACTATAAAAAAAATTCGAGAATTTTGTGGTACAACGGACGAGTAATTGTTTGAAAAATTTGTAAAATCGAGAAACGCCGTTCACAAGATCAGCCCTCCGTATATCGTATTCTTTCCGCTGTGTCTGATTGATAAATACTGTCTGGTCTTTGCTGAGTGTGGATTCGTACCTTCGGCAGACTTTACTTCTCTGCATCGCATCTTTGTTTCTTAATGATCTGCTCACTCGCTCTTGATCAAACCACTATCTCCAAGAACACGAACTAGCACATCATCTAACTTGCGTGATTTCTAGACCTCACTCTGCACACATTCGACGAAAAAAATGTCTTTCTACCGCGTTTCTTTCCGATTTTTCCTCTGTCTGCCTTATTTTATTTCAGTTGACTTTTGTTTTTCTCTAATAGATGTGGCCTAACGATACATTTGAACTAACTTCTTCGCTCGGTGTACGATATATGAGATATACCGGTTACGCAGGGTGTTAATAAAGATCAGTTATATTCTTTAAAGATCGATTCTTTCACAGTGAAATCTATATGTATATGTACAATATACAGTGTTTCCTCTCTATAGCGCACCGGTTCGGGGCTGGCAACGCGATTATAGAGAGTAGTGGATATGATTCTGCGATCGTTACATTGGCTGGCCATTCGCTTCTCTTTTATTACTTCTCACTCGCTCATCACGATCCCTCTCTTAATCTCTCTCGCTCTTTCTCTGTACGGCTGATGCAGATGCAAGGTCTGTCTATTATCAGCCAGCCCCAGACGTGGTGGCGATAACGGTGTGATTTTATGGAAATCGATACAGCGCGATTATAGAGAGAGAAGAGTATATTTTATTTAATTCATGAGTTGTTGTCAAACAGTTTTTATATTTTATTTACTTGTAACTGTTATTATATTACCACATTCAGGATCGAGGACAATTTCACTGCTTGCTATTGCTGCTGTTTACTGTAACATAATCTACGGATTTTGTGCATTTATGGTACATATATGCAGATATGTAGGATACTATGAAACTAAGCTTTTGCAAAAAGAAATGGATTTTTTGTTTTAACATCAAATTGTCAAATTGATGAAGCAAATCTTTCTCTTTTTCTGGTTCCTGTAAAATATTCTATGAAAATAAGAATTTTCATTATAATACAAGTTATGTATATTAGTCTCATTTCTACACTATTGTATAAAGCAGAAATTAACAAGATACTGATTACATTTTTTATTAAGGGTTTTAGAAACTTAACAACTGGAATTACCAACGATTATATTCATTCAATGCGTTTAAATGTACATACTTATAATTCATACCTTCGCAAATTCATTTATAAACTCAAGAATTTTATAAAATCTTATATTCTCAAGTGTTATTTTATATTATACTCTAGTGATTTTGCTTAAAATGTATAAAATCCGTAGTATAGTTAATACTCAATAGCTCAATGTTCTTATAAAATTTTGATGATTGGGATGATTTTTTAAGTAAAAGATAACAAAAGTTATTTTTATATTTTATCTCTATTTTGGTAACTTTTATTAGACAACTGGAGTGCTTTATTGATTGCACAATAACTTAATAGTCCGAATCAAGAAAAAAATTTGATGACTATTTTACATAGTCTTTTACTGGCAGACGATTACACAAATTATGAATTCGAAACGAATTAGTGTAGCCTCTGTTAAAATATTTTGAGTATTTCCTTTAATTATCTGTAAATCAAAAACTGTGATAGGTATTATTTATATTTATACAAAATTTTATACAAGTTTTAGTATGTACATTTTATTCTCTGAATTATTTTGAGTCACAACTTATAAGAGCATCAGTTTTTGACTCTACTGATCATCGAGTCGTCCTGAATGTGTTGTATTACTAATTTTCGACAGTGTACTGCATTATACTAGAATTTATAATTTTTTCAAAATGACTACAAATATCATTATTCAATGTGATACGAAAAATAAATATTTTTTAATGCATGTCCTATTAATTTGTTATTATACAGTATCTGAGCTGTATATGTATGTATACGAGTGTTTCGAAAGTGAGGTGTATTTTAATGAATAGTGGAAATAGACTTTAACTAAACCGTGTACCCTAATTTTTCCTTTAAAGAATCGATCTTAGCCGATATACTTGGATTTTTATTAAAATCTTGCGTGGACGTGCGCGCACATGCGCGTATGTATACCAAGCAAGTACAGAAACATTTAGAGCGTTCAAGGATGTTAAAGAATGCCTTTTAGTGGAAAAATGCATAATCTTATACTATTGCTACTGAAATTTCGTTTCTTTCTATAGAGTGTGAATTGTATGTGCTCATTTTGAGTCTTATATATTTTTAATTTTTGAAATCAGGACTCATCCTTTAAGTTCGAGCTTTGAAGTGTCTTTGAGAGTGTGGAATGTGTCGAACGTGTAATAATTACAGAAATGATAAATGGTAATTAAGGCGAACAGTTTCGTCCTGATGGAATAAGATAATAATCTACAACATTATATTACGTATGGAATATTATAATACAGTGATATTATGTATACCCTTTCTTGCAGTTTAATAGATAGTGAATCATGTAAGTAAACGGGATTGTCCCGATAATCGCGTAGTATAAACTATGAAGTACAATTTCCATTAGTTCAATTATGATACTCGAGTAATACACACCCAGGCAGAATGATTACACGTGTGTAGTGTCATTAAATTTTAAATGATACATTCAGAATTCTCTAAATTCGGTGAACTGTATAGCTGTTCCATTATTCCTTGTTCTCCTCAAAGCATCCTGGTAGTAAACTAAAGACAAAAGGGCTCCATAAACATGATATTAGAAACGAAGGTTTAATAACATAAATGGCATGAATGATATAAAAAAAGTGTTTCTGTTTAAGAAATTAAAGGTCATTTTCTTTTTACTGAGAGTGTTGCGGATTTTTTTAAATTGGTATAACTTATTGTGTTGTTTATAAGAAACTCCGAAATTTGTTCCTTTTTCATTTAACTCCATACTCTATCATTTTCGAAAATAAAAAAAGAGGAGGATGTTTACACAATATCAAAATAAAGAAGAGAAAAATAAAACTAAAAAGAACCAGAAAAGTTGACATTAGTTTTTGAGAAAGTGTGAATGATAAAAACTGTCTATCACGACAGTTGCTTCTATTTAAGTCTGACTTATATATGTCCATAGCATAAGTATCTCAAAGCAAGTTTATCGTACCCTGGTGGATAAATAATCTGACTCATTAATGTATTTGTTAATCTAGTAGGCTTTCGACATAATTGTAGTAATATGTTGTTGTATTTATAACCTTTGTTTTTTTCTCGGAAACTAAGCCTCGTGTAAACAGTAATTAATTTTCAACTCAGTTCCACTATCATTACGTCTATACCCTGTATAGACATGATTCGTTAAATTTAGAGAATTCTGAACATATCATTTAGAAATAATATACCACGCATCCATTTGTCCGGGTGTCTATTTCTATGGGATTAATAATTTAATACATATAAGGTTCCACGTTTCAATTTATAAACGTTTACGAAATATTCCTGTAGGATTTCTAGTTTAATATATTTTTCCTGTGTAAAATTCTATATTACCTGTTCCTTAAAACGTATTGATGATTTTGAAGTTTAACTTACTCATAAACTTTCGCGACGTGTCTGCTTATTTTAGACACAGAGAGTTAAGACTAATATTGTACTAAATAAGTATGTGGTACAGTGTCTGTGATGTTTAACGTCAACTAACGTTCGCCAATTTAATTACAACATTATACTATAAGTCTGTTTTATGTGGCGTATTAACCGATTTTCTGATAAAAGTCAGTTGATTCGATCGACTTGATGAATGTTGAATTGAATGAAAGATTTTATTCTGTGAACTATCCTGTCAAGAGAGATACTAGTCGTGATAGTTGTTGTTGTTGCTGTCGCTGTTATTATTATTATTGTTGTTGTTGTTGTAGTTATTGTTGTTGATGTGATTATTGTTGTTCTTGACATTGTTGCTATTACACGAAAACACTGTTAACATTTTTCCTCCCCTTTTTACACTCTGACCGGCTGACTCTCTCTATCAACGATTATTGTTGACTCTTTAATAAGAATGCTACATGTCAGAGATGTGTACCCTAATAGACGTTGCATGCTGGTTACAAAATTCTACGAAACTCATTCCCTGTTCAATATTTAATTTTGTATTTATTGTTGGGATTGCTGGTCGGGTAGACAAATATGACAGTTCGTTTCAACGGTCAAGGAGCTCGAGCATGTCGTCGCTCGAGAACATCACTACAGAAACCATCAGCTGCCTTACGTTCGCAGATTCCTACACGAAGAAAACTGGTATGTTTTAATCGTTCATGTTACGTGTACTAATAAGTACCTAATCCGCAGTTACCTTTTAATAAACTAATAATATAGTATAGATTCACAATATCTTTTTGTCCTTTACGTCTGCATATAAAAGTGGTGGAGTGTCTTGAAGGTCGAGGACAAATGTCACTTAAACGTTATGTGTTTCTAATTTCCTGTAAGATAAACGTGTCCTAAATTCCTGTAAGATTCGTGATTTGGACGTGAGACTCTATAAGGATCTCCCAATAGATATTGCAGATCAGAAAAAAAGTTTAAATTTATTGGACAGTGTATCAAAAGTTTTTCTTATTGTTCTTAAGATACCTCTCCTGTACCAACACTCTGGATAGGTACATCGTTAGGATCCGTACAAACGGTGATATTTAACACGCCTGTCCGTGGAGAACGGCACGCTCATCCAGTTGTTGTTTCTACATGTAGTGAGTATCACCTGTGCTTCTAATTGTAAGAAGAATATTGACGTTATGCAACATAAATTGTGGATAATTATATAGAATAGAATGTACCTCGCCGATTTCAATGACCTTCATACATGCTATAAAGGTGAATGTCCTGAGTAATTTCATGTGACGTTATATACAGGGTGGCCCACATCACTCTTAACAGCTCAATATCTCGAAAACTATGCCATCGATTTTAAAGTTCTTGGTCTTAAATTGCATGAATTTGAAGGACCTTTCTAACTACATAAACGTGAAGTGGTTCTCCCTTCCCCGTTAAAGGGGGGTGGGGCGGGGATACCTTTATAATTTTAAATGGAACCCTCTATAAAACGTTACATATTTAGATTCTACAGGAACAAACAAGTAAATTTTGTCTGAAACATTTTTTTAGGTAGGTACTTACTTGAAGCGCTCGGAAATTGCGTTATTGAATTATACGCGCTTGAGTTCTTTGCTTATTCGTGAAGAAATAAAATGTTCTTTAAATTAAATGTTCAAAATGTCGACCACGGGCTTGTAAACATTTATTTACTCGAAACATCAAAGTTGTTCTAACATTTGTTAACATTTCGGGAGTCAACATATTCTCTTTTGTCGTCGGCGGTTCAAACATAACGACAAAAGAAAATATGAAACAAAGAATACGTGACGCTTGCGCTTCAGTGGCGTTTATTTTATGGCCATTTTAGGCACATGACGCCTTTAAGCCGTCTTCAAGGCGTTATTGGGCGTTATGTGCTATCTGGGTTAGGACATCGACCAATTATAATATACATATATATATATATATATATATATATATATATCAAGATCATTGAAATCGGCAAGGGATACCCTATTCTATATTATTATCAAATTATGAAATGCGAAAAAAAATATTAAAGGAAATTGATTGTTCTTGTATTCACGCTATATATACACATATGTATTATTTTTGCAGATGGATCTTCTTTTAAGTTAAAAGGTTGTATTCTATTGATGTCTTTCCTCGATTGTAACGGTGCCCTGATCCCATATTCGTACGAGTCCTGGAAAGACGATAGCGCGGAGGGCAAAGATCGGAACAGTATGTTTTAATGCCTATTACATTTATACAAATGTATAAAGTATCTCAAAAATCCCATTGCAATATACTTTTCTATTTAAGAAGTTGCATATACCTACTATGTTCAATACGCTAAATAAAAAAAAATTAAATAATTATACATAGTCAGATAGAAGTTCGAACAACGTTTTTTGTTTCTACTTTTTTGTTACTGTTCTATGTTTTTATTCGCTTATTTCTTGTTTCTTTCCTTCTATTATTAATCTAGAGTAAAATAATGGAATATTTATTCCTCGAAAGTCACCTACCCTTAGATTCACAAATAATAAGTTAATAATAATAAAAACGTGTTTCATTAAAAAAATATGTTAATCTTGAAAATTTATGCAGATGTTCACACACACTGTTTATCTAAAATGTTCGATCTGAAATTACAAAAATTGTTTATAAGATACTGATGTTTTTTTATTATCAGTTATTTAAAGTAGCTTTACTCTCGCTTGTATTCTTCACGTAAGAATTTACAAATCTACATAAAAAAATTGTAAGTATGGAATTCCTTATACAATGTTAAGTTTAATGTGAAATATATGATTTCTTAATGAGGAATTTTGATTAGTTATAGTAAAATTATTCATATTTACCAATGAAACAAATATATTAATACAACTATTACTAATAAACGTTTATTTTTGGATGTCAATTTTTCATTCAAAGCTGCAATCATTTATAGATATGGTGGTTTTAAGTGTCCTTTCTTTACTCAGTGATTTCTTTCATAAAAAATAGTTTACAAACACTTGAATGCAATTTCAATTCGCTATTTTGATTTTTATAAACAATTTTCAAAAATAAATACATATTAAAATTGTAACCCAATTTCACCACGCTCCATGATGTATCTTAATTCATTTGATAATTTCTTTAAGTACTTTCATTGTATAACAAAATCACGCCTAATAAAACATACGAAGTACATTTTAATTGAACGTTTAAGTGATCACTATTGTCAATAGTTCGTAAAAACATAATATATACATACCAATTAGTGAAATTATCATTCCATGTGCAACAACCTATTAGAAGTACGAATCATGAAGAATTTGGTTTCTATAACCATCTAACAATACTTTGTTTTTCATTAAAGAGAGCCAAAGTAAATGTACAAATACCCGAATGTCACCGTCGATGACTACGCAAGCAACTGCAGGCGATGGCTTCGAAGATCGTCAATACGTGGTATTAGTGTCTGAAAAGCAAGCGAGGGTGTTGGCGTTGCCATCACAAAATTGTCTATATAGACATCAACTGGCTGAAACTCATATTGTAATTAAAGCAGAAATTACTACTATAAATGGTAAGTCATTCTTCCTTCAATTTTCATGCATTCACTCATGTATACTTAGAAACAAACGTAAATCGCAGAAACAAATAACATTGAAACCCCATGATAAGTTTAATGTATGTGGTCAAGTCACAAATAACTGTCGCCATAGACATATGAAGGTTCTTTATACAGTAATGAAAGAAATAAAGAAACAGTAAATGTCGGATATATATATAAAAGAGCTTAATGCTTTCTTCTACGCATGAAAAATAAATAAACATTCATATAATTCTATATAACCTTTCATTATTTCAAATACTCTTAAACATTGCGTCAGAAACTTATTGTATGCTATTACACGAAACCTGTAAATTAGATAACTAATGTGACAGAAAACAGGACAATATTTTTCTTTTTTTCAGATAATATTTGTCTCGTATGCTACGTTTCAAATGGGCACGTAGCTACGTATAGTCTACCAAGTCTGAGGCCGCTGATAGACGTAGATTTCCTGCCTCTGATAGATTTAAGGTAAGAGAAAAGAATTATCTCACTAAATTAGCTTTATGGCATTTAATAAAGCAAATATCAATTATACTTGCACACGGTATACAATAATGCACTGTATGCTATTGCAATGATGCAACACTGCAACACTTTCTATACTGCTAACAGTAACATAAAACTCACATTAACAATGACTATTTCTTCTATGAATACTTTCAACTAACTATTTTTGGAATGCAGCTCAGAAAACTTTTAATTCTTCAATAAACATTCTTAATACTTTCTAAAATTTAATTGCTTTATTTAAGAGATTTCAGTAATGCAAATATAAATGCTGTAATTTTTTAATAATAACGATGTTACAATTGCACTATCCCAGACAAAAAGTATTTGATCAAAGAAACTAAACGACTTATAGGAAAAATGATTCTTGTATCGGACATAACAATGATGTATTAATAATAAAAGAAATAGAATAAAATAGTTATCTTTATTTCAGCAGTACATTAATATAAAAATTAAAATCTTTATTTATTTGCAAAATACAGAATAAGGAAGTCAGATAGATATTGCGGCAGCAGTTCACTGATCCTCGAGATGATACAAGCTTCTGATCCTCTTTTTTTTTTCAAATTCTGTACAATATTAAATTACTTCATATTTACAAAACAAGCGTATATACATTTTCTTAATATTTTCATCGAATCGTAGCCAACTCTTCTATCCTATTTTTTTAACTGCATATAGCAATAATTTTTACGATACACCAATATAAATAATTTTTATAGTGATCGTGTTAATCATTTGATTCAGTACTTTATGCCAGGGATAATATACAATAAAAAATTATATACATACAGTATTGCTGTGAGGAAAATTTACAAGCACTTCTAGCAACTAAATATTTCCACTTTAATTACCACAATATAAATATAAAATATAAAATATAATATTTTTACGCGTTCTTTTCTTTTTAATCTTTCTACCTGATTGTCTTCATACATATGTCCTGCTTATAAAGCCATTTTAATTCATATATATTATTGGATTTATTCGTGCATAAGTTATTTATGAGTTGAATTCAACAAAAGTAGACAATATCATTTTTAAAGATCAAGGTGATCTTTACAGGTCACTTGTCATAGAATAAAATTACGGAAACTAAAATATTATCTCAGAAAAGCGGTAAAACTGACAAGGGAACATCCCGAATTGACAGTCGCCGATTTTGATGAAACTCTCGGACAATTTTAACCAACGTTTTAAATATTCAAAGCAGTTCTGCTTGAACTGCCTATTTAATGAAGATTTTACAGTCGTGAATTGGTCGAGCATTGCTTGTTTGTTATGCCTTACCTACATACCGGTCATACCACCTTATGGCAGTGCGCAGTGCAGATAACTTTTATAACTGCAGCCTCAGTTTTAAGCACTTGAAGATCAAACAACAAGGCATACTGTAACATAGTTACCAGAAATCGTTAAAGTGCACTATCTGTGTAATTATACGCATTCAAATACTCCATCTTACACAAAATGCGAGATAACTGTAAATATAATAACTTTTTTAATAATGTAAAAATAAAAATAAAAATTTATCCGTATTTTAATAAAAAGTGCTATTTTTTAAATATATTGTCTAAGCAAATAGATTATTCTGGAATCCAATCATATGGCTGGATTCCTTATAAAAAACACAATATTGTAGTTTACATCGTTTTTGTATCTCTGTTTCCGAGTTATTCGACCGAACATAGCTCACACTCTTAACTTTTAGGGCTGTTTTCACTCCTACAACGTGGATAAGAGCAGCTAAGAAAATACATATCAGATATTTTTATGATAACTACAATTTCACAGAGTTGCATCAAAATCGGCGATTGTCAATTCGAGATGTTCCCTCGTAAGGCGCAATTTTTGTTCTGTAAAGAATTACAAATTTCGAAGATAATCACGTGAAAAGATTAAGTATCATACTTCGCATCTATTGATAACTCTTTCTATAAAAGACATATTTAATCGCCAATTTTTGTCACAACATTGTCTAGTTAAAATATTGATCTTTTTTATAAGTTATTGCTGATTTAGTCGTTAATGTACATACAAGGTCTGTTCCAAAATAACCGAACCTTTTCAAAATAATAAAACACAAGTCATTCTTGGGAAAAAATGTTTTATTTTATTCTAAATACATACATTTTTTTTGCGGCGATATAGCGAATTACACTCCCAAAAAATATATCAAATCACTGCTATATGTCCTTTTGCGGATTCTCTTTGAGAATCCTGGCGACATTTTGAGTGTGTAGAATGTCATCATTACGTATTCCTCTTATGGTTATTTTAAACCGCGGAAAAAAAATAATCCATTGACCAGAAGTAAACCAGTAACATACGACTAGAGGAAGTTTGTGTCCTTATGGACAATTTTAATGATGTTTTCAGATCGATCACCTTGATTGAATTTTAGGTCACCAGTCTCTGAATAACAAACCGTGCAAAAACCTTGCAATGTTTTTACTGTTCAGTAAAAATGCGACAAATGGTGTCTTCTGATAACCCCAGCCCATTGCCCCCAATCGTACCGAACCTTTGATTGAATTTTGATTTCTTCACACAGTTTTTTGATGGTTTCTTTGGTGAATCCCGTTTCCAGACGACCTGGCTGGTCATCAAATTCTGACACAATATCAATCAAGGATATGTTTCTCGACTTTCTTTTTATTCTTTAAAAGTTAGGTTTTTTTAGATCAGACCGTGTATGTATCATTATATTGTGACTGTTATTTTCTCGTGCCTCGTCTTATTCATAATAAATGCATAAATTTTCTACTAACACATTAATTAAGCTAGTTTTTGATATGCATATGAGCACGTGTTATGGTTCTTACATTGATATGGAGAAAGAAGGTTTATTTTAAATACGATAAATGAACACTTTGTCATTATGAATGTGTAGTGTTAAACTATTGCTACGTCTTTAAGATCTAACGAACATGTTATTAATATACGAGTATCGATATGTAGAGAACGTTATATCGACGCTTATACAGTGTATTTCTAAATTATAGGTAGAAATTTAGTCGGTTAATAGAACTCTATTATGAGCAACATCAGGATATTATTCGAAGTTTTATTTTATAAGAAGTATTGTTTTGTGAAATGTGTTACTTTAAAGAGAGGAAGTGGTAGACGTTCATACTTTCAATTTTATTTAATTGCAGTGCATACTATGTACGTCTTTAAAGACCAGGGGTGAATGAAAAGACGATATTGAATAATATTTGTACATAATGTTTGGAGACTAGAATATTTATTTACCAACGATGTTTGTTAAACTTTTCTTGTTTAAAAATTCAATTATTCCTTGACAATATCAGTCGGTAATACAATAAGTGTCGAATTTGACAATAAATTAATGCAATGATTAATATTACGAATGAATACAATAGTTTCAAATTAAAGATAATTTTTTCGACTGTGAATCCTTCATTCATGGTCATAAATTACCATCAGTGAATATAAATGTTTAAAAACTTTTGATACCACAGAATCCGTAAAAATGGTACATAATTTATTAACCGATTAAGTTTCTATCGGTAGATTAGAAATAGTCTATATAAATCTCGCTAATCTCATGGTGATTGCGCAGAAAGCAGCAGAATTTATAATAATTTCGTTGTTCGGTCATGCTACGCGATTATAAAGGGTAGTAAGGTTATTGTGTTTTATTAATTAAAACGGCTGAGAATACTAGCAGCTATACATATAACAATGATAGTGAGGGACAAAACTGAAAAAAAAAAGTTTAAATATTGATTTTTTTAGAAGTTTTAGACTGGAATACCCCCTTAATATTATGAAATTCTTTCCTTAAATCAAACCATTATGTAATCTTATTCGTCTGTAATTTCTTCTTTTCTTATTCCTAATAAAGTAAGCGAGCATATTAATTGTTTAAAATATTTCACCTTCTTAATGAAAACGCTAAAGGTGCAAAAACTTCTTACTTAAAGAGGCAGTGTTAAGAACATTGCAATGATTAAAGGTTAGTTTAAAATAGAAATACATGTACATAAATTTGTCTTCTGTGATAACAGAAATATAAAATAGACTATAACAGAATATTATAATTTAATTTGCTACAGTTGATTTCTTGATTTATGTTAATGAAATATTTCTGATTAGCCTTAATGGGTATCATATATCTATGTACATATAAGCGTTTTAAAAACACGTATAATATATTAGCCAACAATCTTTAAATACTCATATTTATTAAAAGACTCAATAGCAATCTTTATATCTCTGGCATGTAGTCCTTTTAACTCAGTAAACATAAGTCGTTAACTCTTAATAACCACTAGTGTATTATAGCATGCTTTGTTGTAGACTTCTATCCAAGCACTTCTGTTGCATCATGTGAGAGATTCTTACATAGTTGGCTGTATTAGCCCTTTGCGGACCGGGCCGTCTGGCAAGCGAGCGTCGCTGTGGACGAGAGGTATCGGTGCATGCAGTCAAAAAAATATACATGTTTAACGGTTGCGTTATAAAAACTAAAAACATTACAAAAAAATTTAACAAAACTCATCCTCACTTGTTAAAGACTATGTTACTATACAGGGTGAGTCACCTAACACTTTCACCTAAAATATCTCCATGGTTTTTAATCATACGAGAAAATGTGTAAGGAAGAAAATGTTTGTTCCTGTAGGGCAGTTATTGTGATAAAGAAAATTTGTTTCTCAAGGTCATATTTTCTGAAATTTCAAGGTCATCGTTGCTTTTGTAAATATGACGACGTACTTTGATTAGTGCAGCATTATAGCTAACGAAAAGACAAATTCCAGCAGTATGATATAATGACCTTCAAATGACCTCCGAAGGAGTTATTCTTCAAAAAGCATAATTTAAAGTACAAAGACGATGTTCATGCGTGCCGTATTCTAAACATTGAAACGTTGTAGAAAGTTACCTCTTGATTATAAACTGCCGCGCATTTCGCATCATTCGTATCAGTATCATTTCAGTCTTGGTTTCAAAATGTCCTATTCAATTAGTGAAAGGTGTGATATAGTAATCGTCTACTGCGGGTGTAGACACAACGCGGTTGCAGGTTCAATTACAGTATGCAAGAACATATCCTAGTCTGAGACATCCTAGTGTTCCAACCATCTGAAGCATCTTCAACTTCTTTCGAGAAACTGGAAGTGTAGAGAAGAAAAAACGTGTACGAAATAAATCAGAAACACATGTGAATTATGAAATAAATGTTTTAGTTGTCCTAACTAAGAATCCACACATTAGTACACAAGAAATTACCAGACAATCAAATCTTAGAGCAGTGTCGTAAGAATTCCACACTGGCAAAAATGTGTTGAGAAAAAAACATTTTCTTCCTTACACACTTTCTCGTATCATTAAAAACAACGCAGATATTTTACGTGAAAGTGTTAGGTGACGCACCCTGTAATATTTGACAGCATTGACACATTTCTAGTTTTGTGCACCTGCATCGTATGATATTTCTCAAAGCAGTCGCCTATATGCAAGGCCAGTTTAGCCGAGCACGTATCACAATAATATCGTTATTCTCGTCTTTCACCTTTGATTTTTCGGTTGGAGCATACCACACAGTCTTTACTTCTTCCTCTATCGTCTCGATAAATGGTATTTATGTAAAAGGCCGTTCAGCCTTTCTGCTGTACCAGACGTCGATGATTTGTTACGACCTCCGTCACGCAAATCTCAAACTAGTTGGTCTACCAATCAATGTACGAATTTCAAATGTGTCGTTGGTTTCTAATTGTCTCTTTGTTGGCTTAGAAAAAAAAGAATAATTTTCGCCGCCTTGATGTGACGTGCCTTATCGTTCAGAACGATAGATACGCACGGGCGGCTATATGCCGACACGCATCCGCAAAGGGTTAATATACTTAATATTCTCTATTAAATGGTCATCTCTACCTTCTCAAATAATGTCAAGTGTGTATCTGCAGATTCTATTCCTCTACATTTAGCACCTCCAAACTATCGTAGATAGTGAATAATAAGAATATTCATACCCTGATTAGTAGTCACGCTAGCAGTAGGAATAATACTTCTGTTGTGTGCCTTGCAAGTGAAGTTTCTATCTTTATGAAATAATTATATTCTTACTTTCTTATTGACTGCAGAAAATAATAAAAAATAAAGAATAGGTTAATGAAAACGAGGTCATTCTACGCCAAAACAGTCACTTTTTGGTCCGAGAATCAAGAGGCGAATTACATAATCACTTTCCTCATATCAAATTTGTTTAACAAATATGACACATTAAAAGTTTATTATAGAAAATAGTGAATTACCTATTTGTACTCGTTTAGGAATTACTTCCTACAACAGTATCATTAAAATAAAAAAATTAATTCAGTGTTTGATACACTCCCTTGTTTTGAAACAGTAAAAAAAGTAATTGAGTGTTTGAGGTAGTCCCTTGGCATAGTTGCATTTCTTATAAAGATACCAAGTTGTTAGCCCATCGTTTGCAATCTACTATTGCCCCTTACATTATCGAATCCTAACGTATTTAAATGTATAATATACAGGGTGGGGAAATATGTCCACTTTGAATATTGCCGTTATTTGTAATAATATGAAAAAATGTTATATACAAAACTTACACGATATAGAGGGGGCATATTGTGACACAAACATTTTCTGCGTGGGTGAAGGCATAGAGGAGATTTCAAGGTCATCTCTATTTTTTTTTTAATTGCTGTGTTACAATATGCCCCCCTCTATATCGTCTAAGTTTTGTATATAAAGTTTTCATATTATTACAAATAACGGCAATATTCAAAGTGGACATAGTTATTGCCCCACCCTGTATAAATTTGATTTGAAAATAATTTTGACACCTCATCGACAAGGTCATAAAGATATTGTTCCATTTGACGCTATAGATGATAAAAAACTATTTCAACTGACGCTATTTTGCATCACTTGTCGATGAGGTATTCTGCAATACACATAGTGAGGCCCAAAAAGTTTTCAATCTAACCCTAATTTTACGGGAAGAACATTTAAAACACTTTTTTATTCGACAACATAATTTGCCTGCATTGTATCACGTTCGCGTAAATAATAAATAATAATGTTACAGGAAACTAAAATTTAAGAATAATTGTTTTTCATTTGTCTCTTGTAAATTATGATAGAGCCTGAAAATATTCAACTTCACTATGTATATTTGTTTTTTTAAATAAATGTACCGCCACAATGCATGTATCTGTCAATTGAGTATATAGGGTGGTCCACGCAACTGGTGCACCCTGAATAACTTCTAAAGTATGCATTGTATGAAAACATTTTGTATAGAAAAGTTGTATGGTTTGGTGGGATACATTATATAATGCACATATTTTGTTTTATAAGTAGAGGCGTTTCGGAGATTTGAAGGTCAACTTCGTTGTTTTAAATATAATGCTATATCTTATGTTAAAATATCGAACAGCGTTAAATTTTGAGTAAAAATGTTCGGACATAAATTAACCGTAAATCTAATAATTAACGAATAATTTTACTTTGTTTCTTGAAAATGGTCTGTGCGTAATATGAAGTTGGAGATTCAATACCAGCAAAGATTTCCGTACGACTTTTTCCATTCACTAACGTAGGTGTTCGAAATGATGTCCATTCACATTAATACACTGATGTAATCTATTAATCTACAGGTCTGGGTTAGGTTTATTGTTCAACATTATTGTTTTGGAAATAGTGTGCCACTTACTGTCAATTCATGGTACTCAGACGCAAGAGCTTAAAAAATTCTGCGTTAGGTGATGCTAGTGAAAGAAACATTCAGATTCATTTTTGAGACGAGTGATCTGTAGTTTAGGGTTGATCGTGTTATTTCTAATATTTTCACACATAATATTTTACAAATGAATTTCATTATTATTTGCTTACAATTTTGCTAATCAGACTATGAATATTTGCACAATTGACTGTACCACACTCTGTCTAAAAAAATTATTGTACAATAGTGTCAGGTTTCGCAGGCAACATTTTCGTGTTACTGTTCATCTTTATTTCACATGTCACTCTTACATCATGTTAGTTACATACTCAATGGAACAAGGATCACATATTCTATTTGAATACGAGTCTTGGATCATACATTAAATCGTTTTATTGAAACAAACAAGATACATCGATGTTTTCTGGGTTAATGTTAACACCGTGCAAGTAAAAAATCTCTTTTCCACACGTGTACGCTTAACGCTCCGCTTTTCTGGAAGAGTGTAGCGTTAAGCTCTTAATCTCTACTAAGCTCTGTAATCTCTAACAGTTTTCAGACCACAAAACATGGCATTGTAGACCCCATGTTGTCCATATGGGGTCACCAACTCTTTGTTAATGGCGATACCGATCAGTAAGTGATCTATAAAATACACTTCTCATAATATGTATTTTATAAGATATGTGCAATGCCTTGCGTGTTCGATACATTTAATTTCACATGTTTTTCATTCCTACGCTCCTTTTATATTACTTCACGATACTTGTTCAAGCGTCATTTAAGCATTCGCTTCAAACTTTATTACCGTTTTTTATTACGTAATATAGCTTAGTCGCTGTATATATAAGCGTACAGTTTTCACCTTTTGATATTACGTCTTGGTACGTTCATATTTTTCATTGCGTATTTTTACGAAGAATGCGAACATTGTGACGACAGTCCTTTATATATTTTTTACAGAATCGCAAAGACACTTTGCTTCAGCAATAAGGGACATGGTCTGTACCTATCGTCGCCCACGGAGATTCAGAAGTTTTCCGTTTCCAACCAATTTTGGTATGTATTTCCCTTGCTTTAAACATTTGCAAATTAAACATTTTTTTCTCCAGGTCAATTATTTAGTAAAATATTGGGATTTTTTAAGGGGATGTTGGGTAACATTTTAACCTTATTTTATAAAATTAAACAATGGCGGAGTTATATAGCATTGTCTATCGTCATGTCTGGTAGGACCTCGACAGTTGGCACCCAGCAGATCTCCGAAACTATTCGTCCGATTAACTTCACATTTGGACACATTATTCATTATAAAATTGTCTACACTGTAGTCCACGATTTTGTTGATATTTTAATTTATTGAATTTTTATGAATTTTCAAAGTTAATATTTTTTGGTAAAGACGACTTTTTTCTCTGTATAAAACAGCTGTATTCTTATTTTTTTTTTAAATTATTCAAAAATCCCACGAAAGCTATTATTGATACACATCCCCACATTATTAAAATAATATTTGAAACTGTAAAATGGTGCACGCTTTCATCGTGCAGAGGCCACCTGCGGCATTGCCACTTTTCCTGAGTTTAAAATATTAATTTTTCATTATTCTAAGCACGACGCACCTCACCAGAAAATCTAAAAAATTGCAAGGAAAACAATTTTTATTCATGCGTTATGTTGCGATACGAAATCTATGTTATTAAATATAGTCCGATTTATGTCGGGTTTGGACGTATTTTCATCAAGAGAATCTCCTACATTTATTCATAACATTTTTAAGAAAGTACACTGAAAGGAGTAAAAGTTACACAAGGAAGAGATATCCTCGCGGAACCCGAAATTGAAAATATTGGAGCGAAAGAATGACACACGAGCCGAAACTGTCACGAAGTAAATGAGAGCCGAGAGCTTCCCCGGTTTTTAAACAATCCCTTTATAAGTTCTTCCCCCCTTCCTTTATCAGAAAACTTGGATGGTACGGGGTAGCAACAGGCTCTGATACGCGATCATCGAGTCGGTAAGGCAGAATTTTAGAATCGCTGACGTTTCCGTCAGCGTCTCGAGGAAGGTGGACTATGCGCGTAGCTTCCACGTGTCGCTGAATTGACGGTTCTCGTTTGTTCTTCGCGTTTGAAGGTGATCAGAAAATTGTGCAATGAAAAGAGGTTCTCAGATTACAGGATATAACACCTACTATATAATTAGCATTTAGTAAATTATCAATGTTTATGACGGGCGTTATTCATGATTCAATCCAATAATACTAATTGCAAGAATTATAAGTTAAAAATATATGATAAGTATCTATAGTTCATCTTTACCTTGTGAACTTTCAAGGGAAAGATGCAAAGTATAGGTTTAAATATTTATTATACTAAATATCAATGTTTTTTTTATACAGCGTGATCCTCCCGGTGCGCAAACCAAAGGCTGTACCGGTCTAAACAACCGCGTTATTGTCGCGGTAGTCACCAACGAACCCTTCGTTATCCCGATGGTTTTTCCATGTACCGACCCTGCGATACAGATCTCCTCAAAAACCCGACCGTTCGCCGAGACAGCTTTCACTCGGATTCCGAAGGACGCCATGATGTCTTTTCGCGATATCCCGATTTCCCACACAGCCGTTTTCAAAATTCCTAATGTCGCCAAAATGTCTTCCCATAATATCCCTATATCCTAGGTTATCCTTTTCTAAATTCCTTAAACTTAGCGTCCATCCTCTCCATACCGGAACCCCTTTAAATACTAGTCCCAAACAGGGACACAGTCATTTTCCGAACTTCAGCAACATCACAACGTCACTCTGTCCAATTGTATTCATATTTGTAAATAATAGTTAAATAAAACGTATTAAAACCTAATTCGGAGTTACCTCGACGACACTATTAAAGCCGTATCAGCATGCCTAAATCTGTCAGCGGGCTCTTAATGTCGATGACTCCGCTGCACCGATATCGCCCCTACGCCATCGACATATTGCCACACCCATTGGAACATGTACACGCACCGAAACGGTTTTAATAGCGCGGTTCCTTAGAGCGGCACGGCCTTTGATTTTGCGCAGCGACAGGATCACTCTGTATAAACAACATTTTAAAAATGTCTGTTTTAAATATAACGTTTTCAGCGCTGAATTAACTGAAATGATGGGAGACTTGTTCATTGGTCACGATATGCCCGAACCACCGAAAGAAAGCTTCTTTAAAGGCCTCTTCGGCGGAGGATCACGAAGTCTTGACAGAGAAGAATTATGTAAGTTTAAACAATTCATATACGATATGTACCCATAATATGGCGCTTCGTTACCCTCCTTATCGTGGCATTGTTACTTCTACCATTTGATAGTGCTAATTATCAGTAGGTAGCCAAGACAGAAACAAGTCGTTAGAACCGAAACGGTAAATGCCAGAAGTTAATATTGACGAAGTTTGAATCGGGAATTCAAAAACTAGAAACTTCAGGCTACAAAATGGTCGTGTACAATATTTTTTATAACTATTTTTCGCGGAGATGTAGTTATTTGAAAATGTCCCATATTTTCGGCAAATTTTAGTAGTCCCTTAATTTTGACGCCCAATGTATTTCGTCTGCACAATCCGTCTGTCGTTAAAACTACCCCATCGTTTGGAAATTATACAGGGTGGCCCACATAACTCTTAAAACATCTCAATATCTCGAAAACTGTGCCATCGATTTTAAAGTTCTTAATTTCGGGAGTCACTGAAGCGCAAGCGTCACGTATTCTTTGTTTCATATTGTCTTTTGTCGTTATGTTTGAACCGCCGACGACAAAAGGACGAAGAACTTTAAAATCGATGGCATAGTTTTCAAGATATTGAAGACTATGCCATCGAGCTGTTAAGAGTTATGTGAGCTACCCTGTATAATGAATATGTTATTGCTCTGTTCCCATCGTTGTATTTACAACTAATTATGAAACTACCAATGTCGCTTTTAGTCGGCGAGTCCAGTGGGCGAGCATCCCGTACCGTGGCGAGACATATACCAGGACCGAACGCCGGTGCGGAGGCTCTTCGTGAACGCGTAACAACCGCCACGGGCGAAGTGAATATGGCCCATCAGATGGTTTTGGAGCGCGGCGAGAAACTCTCGCAATTAGAAGAACGAACGGCCCGTATGATGAACGAAGCGGAGGGCTTCTCTCAATCTGCCCACGGATTGATGCTCAAGTACAAAGACAAGAAATGGTATCAGCTATGAGAATATCGTTTGAATTCGAACGGCACTTGGTACCGCGTGCGATTGTATTGTAATTTAGCGTTCACACTTCACGTATGAGTTCTGTCCTATTAAAAAGTAAAAATGGAAGCAAAACCGAAGACGAACGAAATTCCAAAATTGGACATATTGTGGACTTTGTACGCACAGAGAGGAAACATATTACACGGAATAAAAGAGTGAAAATCGTGTGTGTATGACTGCGTATGCGTGTGCCTGTTTGTGTGCGTGTGATAGAGAGAGAAAGAGAGTGAAAGAAAGAAAATTAATAGAAGAAAAAGAAAACATATTCATGCGATACTTGTACGAGCAGGTAATACACACGCACATCTTTCAGCGAAATGTATAGAGGACAAAAATATCGTATTATTTATATATACAGGGTGTCCCAAAATAGCTTCGACTCCCGGAATTGAGGGGTTCCTGGGATGATTTGAAACAACTGTTTTCTTAGCGAACATGTTATTCGAGGCTTTGTTAGCGAGATATTAACGAGAAACCCAAGACCAATCAGAGCGCGAATTTGCTGGCCGAGCTTCCGTGGTAATGTTGGTCTATGCGCTGCGACTAGTAGCCAACGCAACTGCGGGAACTCGGCCGATAGACTCACGCTCTGATTGATCGGGGTTTTTCGTTAATACCTCGTTAACAAAACTTCGGATAACATTTTTGTTAAGAAAAAATTCTTTCAAATCATTACAAGAACCCCTCATTTCCGAGTGTCGAAACTATGTGGGACGCTCTGTACACACACACACAACACACACACACACACACACACAATGTGTAGACCGAGCAAATAAATGGGTGTATACGTGACGTATAGACCAACCGAACAGAAAAAAATGTAAACGGAAGGAAAGTTGAACGGCTGCGATTCAAATTAAATGAATTATTAACGCATACATAATTACGATAAGGTTTGAAAGAGTAAGTACTTAGGCAAGAATTAAGAGGATGAATTTACTACGTGCGAGTCAATACATATAATTATGTAACAATTCGCCTTTTAAACCTACGAAACTCGTTAATCCATTCGGACGTCCTGTGGCGGCGGAACGTTTGCGTGGTGTGGTAGCGGAACCTATTTAACCTCTTGCCTTATGATTTATAATTCGTAACAGCGCGTGCCAGTACTCTGCGGTTGTGACGCTCACGTGCTTTCGACCTATAGCAGTCGGGCCATACGTCTGGAAAAGAAAAAAAACGAGCCGGTCACGTGTTTCTTATGTTTGACCCGATAAACGTGCCTGACAAGTCTTTCTCATGTTCGGTCTGTAAAACCTGTCACGAGTATCACACGATGTTATAAGGCAAGCGATTAAAGAAAAGAGAAACGAAAATAAAAACAGGAACATATAACGATCGAAGAGCGTGGAAGATCGACGTCGTTCGAACGATCAATAAAAGGAGAAACTCGTAGATCCAGAGAGCGAAGATAAGAATGCAGCGACGCTATTCCGAATGTATTGACAATAAACGTAATTAATCAAGGTAATAGCGCATTGGATAAACGTTGGACGCAGTGAAATATATAATTTATCCACGATGCTGGACCATCGGGCATATACCGCGACATATAATCGTACCGCGTCGATACATCGTCGATAAATCATATATTAGTTGTTATTAATTGTAGTTAATCGCTACATATGCTATGTATATAAATTAACAAATGCAGTAGGAAATATTATTCGTCAAAAAGAGCTGTTTGTATAATAACATGTTGTAAGTTACGCTACTTCAGCGTTGTCGATGAATTCAAGCTGAACTTACAAATACATGCGCCGGGAGCGCAAAGGAGAACCTACTGTAATTTAGAAGGGCGGGGGGGGGGGGGGGGGGGGAGAAGAATTATACGTAGAGTAGATTACGTGAAGACAGTAATATATAATAAGTTCACTTGAATTTATCGAGGCACTGAATCGTCGTACTGCTTCCATAGCAATAACTGTATAGTTGATGTTAATGGTACTAATCACCTACGTACAACTACATTATATAATGTGTCCCGCAGAGAATTAATTAGATTGCAATTTCTTCGACTTCCGGGTATAATTTTCTTCGGACAATATACGCAGGTAGAGTTCTGTTTGTAAATGTTTAACCGCCACCATACATTTGATCACGAGTTGTGTATTCACTGACGATTATTAGTGATACACAAATAACAGGGTGGGTATGCTCGACGTGTTGTTTCGAATTCTGAGACTGCAATGTCAGTACACAAGAGAGCAGAGAAGCGATCTACTGTTCTTTCCTTATCACTTTCTTTTCCGCCGTTCTGTTTAATCCGAGCGACGACCGCTTGTGTCGTCCCACTCGGTAGTCTTGAAGACCCAGGAGAACTTTATATGCGGGGATTTCCGACAAGATAATGAAAAACGCAAAAAAATATTATGCGATAATTACTTTTAAGGTACACACACGAGAAATGTATTGTTAAACGATAACCAAAACGGGAGGGAGCCACTACACGACACGAGATGAGAAAAAGTGTTTTCTGGGATCTTTTGTGAGAATGAAGAAGTTGTTTATTGCTCTAACAATAGAATAGTAAATGTACGATAGTTGCAAGCAAAGAACAGAAAAAGATGATAACATTACTATCTAAGTGTTTGATAATATAACATATTCTAACACTTGTTGTATAAAGACTACTGTTTAGGTGATTCTGGATTATTTATCATATCAAACAGGTTGAGATGTGTTTGAAAATAATTTATTGTAACAAGAAGAAAGAAAGAAAAGACGAAGAAAACGTATTTGAAATAACTAAGGGAAACTATAAACAATATGAATAAAAAGGTATTAATTAATTGGAATTTCTATCGAACCTTCGTTTACGTTCGTTTCGTTCTGTGTCTCGACGGAATGAAAAATAAAAATGATCATTTCTAAAATTATTTTCATACACAATATAGATTTCCTGTAAGGCTAGTTGTTTTTCGGTTATCAGATAATTAACTTACAAATCCTTGCCGCGCCGCAAAAAACAAAAGGATATTTTAACTTTCTTCGATGATCGTACTATTTTGCAACCCTCTGCATTTGATTTTTACAATGATCCAACATTATGTTTTCGACAAATTTTTGGTTCCCGCGCGACCATAATCAATTGTTCTGTAAAGGAATATACTGCTTCCTATATGTTCGGACGAATGGTAGCTACCTCTCTCACTTGCTATGTCCTTTGTATGAAATGTTCGTTATGTATTGTGTCTGATCTATTTCGACGCAGTGGCCTGAATATGTAAATCTACTATTGTAAATGAAATTTTGTCCTTAGATGCAGCGAAATATCTAATACTCTCGATTTATACCATTACTAATCTAGAACAGTTCTTATTTTTCAAGAGATATAATACCATGTTATTGTAAAAGTACTGCCTCGAGGACAGACTGTATCTTGGCTCCGATTAATAAATGAGTTCGAACCAAATTAAGTACTCGTGGAATTTTTCATTAACGGAAAACCGACTTGTAATTACCAATTCTTTAAATCGACTTTACCATTTTTCGTGTAACATAACCTACAGTTATGATAATTTTGTCTGAAACGTTTCTAAACTGAAATTGTGATATAAATCTTTTTTTATTATCATTACTCAAAATTTTTTCCTGTAAGAGAAAAAATACTATTCACAATAATTATATGAATTCTAAAGCAAATTCTGATATTCCGTACTTAAGATGGCGGCCAGAATGGTGGTCGCAGCCTTTGAAATGTGCAGAGTTATTCAAGACGGTCATTGTTTCATCTTTATTTTTTATTTTTTAATAAGAGTATGATTATAGGCAGTTATTAAGTAGGGTAAGTACGATGGATAATTAAGACATACATGTATATGTAATGAATAGTAAGGGCATCTTAATTTTACGTTTATTGGTTTTATTTCACAGTGGTTTCCATTTGTGATTACGTATTTCTTTTGCGTAGTTTAATTCTTGTCTTATTAACCATTAATGTATTTTAATGAGGGCAATTTCAGATTCGGAAAAAGCAAATCGGGAGCAATTTTTTGAGATATAAATCGTTATGATACGTTAACGTTCGGCGCCAAGTATTTTCCGGTGGCGCCAGAGACCCCGTGTGGGGAGAGCGTGGGGTCATAGAACCCCCGGTGGAGGCGCCAGAGACCTCATGTGGTGAGAACGTGAGGTCACAGAACACCCGCAGATGGCGCCAGAGACCCGTGTGGTGAGAACATGAGGTCACAGAACCCCGCAGATGGTGCCGGAGGCCACCGTGTGGTGAGATCATGGGGTCACAGAACCCCCGGTGGAGGCGCCAAAGACCCCGTGTGGTGAGAGCGTGTGGTCACAGAACCCTCGCAGAACCTGCACGTTTGTGGCGCCCCACCAGTTGTTGGCGAAAATTGGCACTAATTCCAAAACTTAAAAACGTGCAGGTTTTTCCGCCATCTTGAATTCAGAAAAGTGCTGGAAAAATTTGGGATTTATGGGACATTTAGTGGCGCCCCCACTACTTTGGTGGCGGAAATTGGAACTAATTCCAGAACTTCTTCCAAAACTTAAAAGTTTTAGAGTCTTGAACCAGACAACTATAATTAGTATAGGATTGTACAATATTTATGCAGTTACATTTAAGACAATTCGATGAAATGAAGCTTATATTACCTGACGTATGTTTATTGGAATATACATATATACATATAAATTATAATGATATAAACGTTTGAAATACAATACGATGCGCTACGGTACAATACGTCTATTCGATTCAATTGCTCCCTTGCGACTACAACATCATGCTATCTGCGTTCGGCGCAGTGCATTAATGCGGAGGCTAACGAAATATCACTGTAACAATTAAAAAGTTTTAAAGTTCCGTTTATATCATTGTCCTGTGAAAATGTTCATACTTCCAGCAGCATTCATATTCCAATCAAAGAATTTACAAAATAAGGAAAAGAAATCTAAAGTAATTTTCCGTAGTTCCATACATCTTTATCTCGAATAATTTTCTAATACATTCAAAGTACTAGACATTTTCACACTTCGAATCTCATATCGATTTCTAAAATAATCCTAGTTCGATGTAATATAGAACGTGAT